TAGCACATTATAAATGAATGGAAGGTCTGGGCTGTAGGGCTGAAGATGCAGATCTAGCACTTCAGACTGGTGGTAGGAAGTATGGTTCCATTCAAGAGATTTATGAGGGGGTGAATTTTTTTTTCTTAATAGTCAGAAATTCTGTTGAAAGATGTTAATGATTGTAAATAGAGATGGAAAGAAGGAAAAAAATCACACCTCAAAATTTATAGAGTTGTTTCACCATGTGAACTTTGTTTTGTCCACATATTTATAGGTATTATGAAAATATAATTCCTACAATGATCACGTACAAAATCTTTCCTATGTTTGCCTAGTTTAGACACATGAGGAACAATGTGACATCAGGACAGCACCACTGTAACGAATATGCCTGTTGTCTCAACAGCCCCTGCCTCATCTATCGCAATACTTGGGAGGAGGTTGGTGTAGGCTGTCAGGTGGCTGTGAGACTGTGCCATCTTTTAGTTCCCTCCCTTCCTCTGCCACTGGAGCTGCTATGAGATGCTGAGTGAATTACATAAACTGACACAGTCTCATTTAGTTACTAATCGTGTGTTACTAATTTTCTTAATACCCAAAGTAAGACACCTGTGACCAGACTCAAAGCTGTGTAAAGTGTTCACCGCTGCAGTAAGATGTAATGGGAACAGTGCTTTAAACATGTGCAATAAAGATATTAAATATACTTGACACTGAGAAGTGTCAAAATAAGCACCCAGAATTTGTCTTTCTTTGTTCTCCATTTTCTTAGATGAAAATATTAATATCACCTAATCTTGCAAAGCCTGTGGAAAAGAGCTTCACTTATACTTGCAAGGTAGTAGCATACTCGCAGGTTACTGTGTAAAAAGGGTAATAAAGGGAAATCAAATAACTGTCCATTTTTGAAAGAAGCAAAAGTCATGCAATAAAAGACAGCATTTGATTATATAATCAAGGGCTGCAAAAAATGCAGGTATGCAAGAGGAAATGGTTTGTGTGGGTTGTCTTATGATGAACATTTTTTAACTTCCAAGTCCTTAACTTTGCAGCTGCAGCTTTCTAAATATGTGTTTTGTAGTTATTAATGGCATAAAGAATTATTCCTAACATTGTCCATATAGCTCCAAGCCCCAGAGATCCATAAGCATTGATCTTGAAATGCTGTGTAGACACTCATTGTGGCCAGATATAAACAGATTATTCTACTGATTTTGGTGGAAGACAAGATCAGGAACCAAAATTGAGTACATTTACTGTAGGCATCTAACTTTTATCTAAGTCATAGCTGGAAGTAGTCTTCTAAAAGGAGGGTCTAAGTTTCTACTACGGGTTAGGGAGATAAACAGATGCCTTTGATGCTTTCAATAAGAGGCCTTGCTGGTTTAGTTTAGGTGACCACCCTTACTGTAAAAGTGTCTTTGTCTGCAAGCCTTCCAGGGCACCTTTCTCTTTCTACTCACAGAGTGAAGCTCAAGATGTAAAAAACACCAGACTTTCCCTTTATATCAAGTCTGATACGTCATTCTGATTTACATGTATAGGAATGTGTGTGAGATCTGGTTAAGGGAGCAAAAATACAAAAGAGAGCTGAAGAAATCAGAAAATAACATTATTTCAAAGTGAATATCAATACTCAGCCCTTTTTTGGTGAGTGGTCCAGATACTTGTGCCATTGCAGTAGGTGATGAATTATGCAGATAAGCTAGAATCATCTTTATCTTGCATAGCAGAACACGTACTACTTTTATTTATATTTAGGTCTGACCCTGCAGAAAATTATCTGTTTGTTTTCTTATTTAAATTAATGTAAAACCAAATTCTCTAGTGTAATGATCAAACAGCCTGTGGGAAAGTATGTAATAATTATGCACTGTTGTTCAGTCCAACATATTTAGTTACAAAGTAATGCAGCTTATCTGCTTTCTGAAATGAAAGCAGTAAACAAGTGGAAAAAAAAAAAAGTATGCTAAACACAAATCTTGTGTCTTAATCTTCATTCTGGTTTATCTGCTGAAGCTCCTTGTCAGAGCAGTATCTGAACACTTTACAGTCTTTATTGCTTAATGCTGAGCAGTATAAGCTAAGGAAATAACACATTCCCTATTTTATGGACTTGGAGGTAAAACAGGGATGGCCAAGATGAGCCTATACCCATTAAAGGACATTGGCATATAGAAATTAGGGGCTTTGATGTCAAGCTTATATGTACCTGCCCTCAGATAGAGCTCTGGACCAAGCTCCTCATATTGTGATTGAGGGAGACTCCTCAGAAGGCATCACCTGAAACAGCCAGCCAAATGATTAGTGCCACAGGTAGTCCCATGCAGCAGCCCTCTGCTCACCCAGAGGGAATTTGCTGAGGCGAGAGTGAATCTAAGGTTTCTTCATACATTTTATGTTCAGTGGATATTGGGTGGAAGGCAGAAGCAGAGCCAGCTCCCAGGAGGCTGTCTTCCGGTGTGAGTGCCATCACTGCCTGGTTACCTTTCACTCCTTTATTTCTCTTCAAACTTTTTCTGGACAGAATTTTGAATTATTTTCTTAATAGTGGGAATCATTAGATATGACAGGTGAAGATTAAACCTGCATACAGCCTCTTTTGTTCAGAAAAGCCTATAAAGAGGCATTTAGAGTATTTTTTTTGGGACATGTAATTTTGAATTCCTTAAGAAAGCGGGAGAAGCTAAACTTGGGTCTCTCATAGCTTGGGGCAAACGAATAACTATCATGTGAAGTAGCCAAAGATCTGTTGTAGAAGAGTGTCAGCATCAACTGCATTTTGTGTGGAGCCATCCTGTCATCTGGAAGTGGCTGGCATGCTTTGGGAATGCCTGTTGCCTCAAAGCTTAAAAGGCCTGGGCAACAGAACAGATAATTTCTGAGCTGTGCTCCAGCTTAGGAGTGTTAAGCAATACAGCCCTGTTGGTCTGGAGCTGTTCTAGACAGGCAGAGATGCCCTTTACAGAAAAAAATAGAATTATATTCAACATTAGGCAGGTAGCAAATGAAAATTTGTAGCATTGCAGTTTTTGAGCTTTGATACCTGGGCACCGTCTTAAAAACCTTTAAATGCCTTTTCTGCATTTGCCAAAAGGCATACGTTGTAATGTACCACGGTGAGCCTTGATTTTTCTTGTACGTACTTTTATATTTTCTTCCCTTCTGTTGTCCTAATCCTTATAATGGACACATTTGGCCACTGTCAACTTGAGTGATTTTTTGCATACCTGGTTGGCTGACTCTTCTTTTTCTAATATGCTGATACAGTCAACTGTGCCAGTAAAGCAATTATGCAAAATTGTGTATAAAGGTTTAATGATACACGACAGTGTTCATCACAAATTTAATTGTGATTTTTACCATCATTTCATAAACTAAAGGTTTCAAGAAGTTTGAATTAGGAACTTTGTGGTTAGTCTCTATTTTATTAAAAAATTATACGTAGTTTAGCAGATAGGGAATGTTTAATATTCATGCCACTGTTAACTTTGGAAGGAAGCAATAAATGGATATAGTGACTTTGAGGTGTTCAGATAATGTTTTATATGCTTTCAGGTGGTGATTATGAGAAGTCTGCTTTATTACATGTCTCATTAGGTTACACTGTGTTATCCATTTTGCCTTACAATCATAACTGTGTATGGCTGATTGTGTACTGGATCTGTAATATGACACAAAGGTATAAATAAAAGATGGACACAGTTAGTAGCAAAGCACAGCAATGTGTCTGAATGCCCATAAAAACAGATAGTGGTTTAAAACTGAATTGACAGGTGCAGTGCATTGAGGTTCGATATCTGGTTTCCACTTAGGTAACTGAACTGGTTCAGGAAATGAGCAGTAAAGCAATATTTGGTAGTGCTCTCACTGAAGCTGAAAATCCCTTTTTTTTTTTTTTTTCTGGTTCAGAACAGGGCATATAGAAACCTTTCCAAACTGAAATTTCCACTTCTTGTTTTCTGTTTTCTGCCCTGGTGCGTTCTGTGGAACCCCAGGTGGGATTAAATCCTACCACAGGAAGCAGTAGGTCATTATGAAGGGCAGGGAGAGACCTTCTGCCACTGCCATCAGTGACAAAGCACACTCTTCTTCCATCACTAGCCATTAGGCTGCATGTGAAGAGGGAATATGGAAAGTAGCCCCCCTTTCTATGCCTTAACAGTTGTCACAAACTGTATGTCATCTTTATATATATACATATACATGTATATTATATATATTTAATGCTTCCTTACTGCAAAGGAATACGAGGACAGGGCATAATGAATAACCTTGTGGTGCTTTGCACTACCTTGTTCATCTGGACAGGAGCTGACCAGCACATTTGGTGCTCCATGCAGGCAGATATGTGAGCAATTCTATACTGAACATAGCAGTCTGTGACTTGTATAAACAGCTTTAACTTACTGCTTGCTGAAAACAGAGGCCTGAAGCAGTCATGGAGGTTTGGGGAATGTTAATTGTTTGTGTATAAGAATGAGCTTATAAATGGTTGTTTTGCAATGTTTTGTAGCTTGTCGAGGGTAACTGTGTCACTGCCAGAGAAAAGAAAGGAGAATGATCATTTTTTTCTTCACAGTCTACTAATACTTTCAGGGTTCGATGTAATGTGCCTTTAACAAACCGTGAACTTCCTCCTACTGAGCCACTGCATCTTGCCTACATTCAGTGTAGGCAGAGAACCATTATACTAATCCACCCTACCATCATATCTCTAGCAAACACATGTAAGCGTTTTCTTTGAATATTTATTTTGATGCAAACAGTGTTAATTCTTTTATTCGGCAACACAAACAAGCAGGAGATTGTGACTTCTCAACTTTTTAACCTGAATTGTGTAAGTTCCATTTTTTAGCCACAGCATGTTTTGACAAGATGGATGACAACTACATCTTGCTGTAGGGGAATAACCCTGCCACCTCACAACCACCTTAGAGTAGTTCACCTCTGCAGGTAGCAGAACTTTAATATGTAGACACTGGAATGATCAGTCTTTTGCTTTTTTTCTTTAACAGGTACGATTGTATGCAAGGCCTGATGCAATCCGAAGAGGATCAGGGGACTATGCTCTAAATATTACAAGAAGACTAATTGAATTTTATGAAGATTATTTTAAAGTGCCCTATTCCCTGCCAAAATTAGGTAAGATTTCCCCTAGAACATGAAGTTCAGTTGGAGCTTGGGACACTGTCAGCTTTTTTAAAGGAAATTTAAGACTGGAATTTACTAGGTTTCAAGGTAAGGAATGTCTGGGTTAATTTGGAAGGATTAATAAGTAAGGAGTTTTCCTCTTTTCCCTGGAGAGGAAAGGAAGTCAATTTGTCCCCTCTCATATTTGCACTAAAAGGAGCAGAAAGCAGACAGCACTTGGGTAAGTTAGGCAGAGGAACAGTAGGAAGAGAATGCAGCAACTGTAACTACTGATTAGTTTCTTCTTCATCCTTTTTTTTTTTTATTTTATTTTTATTTTTTAATTATTTTTATTTTGGCCTCCCTTTCATTAGAAAGTCACTGGGAGACATTTGTTCTGTAATATTTATAACTTGAGGCCTTAGCCTTAGATGGGGAACAGAATTGAAAGTATTTGTAGAAATGGGAGCTTCTAACAGCGTAAGGCAGTATTTGTTATGCTAGTTCATGTTGTTTATTAATGATGGCTAACATATGCTTAATTGTATTGTTGCTTACTGAAAGAACTGCCGTGAACTTGTTTTGCTGCTCAAGTGACTTCAGTGTTGAAGCTGTCAATTTCTATTATTTTTGAAACAGTTTCCTCTCCTCCTCCCTTTCACCACAATCATTTGTTCTCCTATACGCTTGAATATTTTACACCATATTATTACACCCTCCCTCCTTAGGGGCATGTTTGATCAAGATCCAGAAAAGCCTATTGCTCAGCAGCGGGAAGAAAGCTTGTATTTGATCAGAAGTGTTAGAGTTGGAACCACAGGTGATCCTCCCAGAAACTCAGGGTCTATTTCATTAAAACCCTTGCCTGCTGAGTAGCATTATTAGTCTTACAACTAACGGTGTAGGAGATAGATAAAGTAATTGATGTTGCTAGATGAGGGTGTCGCATGAATTTTTTATTAGAATGTTGTGGTATTTGTTTCTTGTTCTCTTTAAATGATGGGTTCCAGGCAATGTTCGCTTGGAGGTATATGCAGATGGGTTTATTAAACATGGCACGTGCATCAGATTTCCTGTGTATCTTTCATACCTGGCTTCATGTATGAAAGTTACTCACACTGGAAGTTACAGACTTACTGGTGCCAAAAATTTAAAAGGCAAAAATAATCAAAAACTTTCCTCTGAATGAAAAGAACAGTGGGACTCCGATCATTACTTCAGGTAGTTTACTGTGGATGCCAGGTAACAGCAGGCAGTAGTGGCTGTATCTGTTTCAGAATATCTTTCACAATTACAACATACGGCCTTTCAACTCAACATACTTTATGGGTTATCATTATGCTGTGGCATATCTTTTTAAAATATCTGATTGGAAGTGAGTATGTTCCAGTCTGGATGTCTTTGCACCATATTAGGAGGAATAATCACAGGTAAAAATGTATTTTTTATCAAGTGTTTTTAGCAAAATTGTGTTGATATGAAGCACAGGTTGAAAACTTGAGTTATCCCGTAGTGATACTACAGGAAATAGTTTGGTAAGTTTGTTATGCTATAATAAAGTTACATTTATTAAATGTAGATATAATAAGTAACATTTCAACACTCGCTGTGATGTAAGTATTATTGAAACTTTCCTTTGAATACGAACATAGGTACATTTGTTTCCAGTTCAACAGAACACTAAGATCACCAAGTTTAAGCATATGCTAGTGCCTTTAACCTGAAGGAGTGCTGATTTGTTTTTTTTTTGTTTTTTTGTTTTTACTGGGAAATGGAAAGTTAGGGCCTATAGTCTGGGAGGTGAGGGAATGCACATGGTGAAAATGTGCTGATACAGAAAACATGCCTGTGCTTTGTGAAGCAAAGAACCTTGGGACTGTCACCTGCTACACTTCTATCATCATTGCAAAGCATTGTGTACTTCATTAAGGCTTTTGTCTACAGGGTTGTCCATTTGAACTCTGTATATAGTGGACGTAGTCGAGGACAGTTAGGTTCGGAGGTGTTGCTATATCAGAGAGACCTGTGTTCATTTGTTCACGTGTCATTAAGGTCCCTTTCCACAGACATTTGGCATTTAGTGTTCATCATCTGATGTTGTAGTAAGTCAGCTAGGGTGCTGTACAGGAACCACTTGGTCCTGACAGTTTTGTCTACTTGACTGTCTTCTGGCCAGGCTTTTTTGCTTTACTTATTTGCAGTCAGATGTTTGTAGTTGCTGTCACCTGTTGTGGGCTTCTCTGACTTCTTGGCAGCCTTTGTTATGGTTGGGAACTGTGGAGAATGTGGGGGAACCATTGTTCCACCTAGTGACTAGCATTTTTTGGACTTAAATGGCCTGTGCTGGCTTCTGAATGTACTGGAACAGTAGATTTGTTTGCCAATTGATGTGAATTATGGTAATGAATGTGAATTGGGGATTTTTCTCATTTGAATAACCAATTTCCACAGTTAAAAGTTCTACTTAGCTTGTAGATATGTGCTCTTTTTTTCCACATCATACTCTGAACTGGAAGGTGCTTGTGTAGGGTTTTAAACTAATAATTCTCATATGAATTTCATTTCTGAAAAATAAGTCAGTTCTTTAAAAAACAGATTTCTCCAAGACTATAATATCATTATAAACACTACTTAAAATGAGAGGTGGATAAGGCATTGGGCTTTGCTTAATTCTGAAAAGATATGTGGTAGGGTTTTTAATTGTGTTTCTATGGCTGGTGAATATAAAATACATTTCTGTATTTGTGTCACATATTTAATTTTAATCCGGTTTGCAATACACAAAGCATTTTCTTAATGTGTAGAGCTTTTTCTTACAAGGATCTTTGAGATTGGAATAGTTTCCCTGTGGGGAATGATTAGGTAAGCAAGAGCTTTTCACACTTGGACAGTTGTGACTCTTTAAGCTGTGAATGATATGGGGTGGAGGGGCTGACTGTCTCTTGCAACCAAGAATAAAGGGCCATACAATGAGGCTGGCAGGAGACAGGTGCAGAGACCACAAAAAGATTGCAGTTACTGTGGCAGGTGGTAGATTTGTGAAACTCATCAGAAGAGATTGTAGATGCAATCCAGAGGTCCAAATGGAGGCATAGACCAGTATTTGGAAAGAAGCTCCATTGGAGAGCATCCCCTGGTCTGAAAACAGAAGCTGGGAAATACTCAAGAGAGTGCTATACATACTTCCCTGGTCTTTCTCTTTCATTAGCATCTGCTTATGGCTGCTGCTGGAAAGGAGCATACTGATCTGGCTAGTCCTTTTGACTGAACAGGCAGAGCTATCCCTATGTTTATAGCCTTCCAGAAAGAGTGAAGTGTTTCTACTAAAAGGCTACAGAATTTCTTTTACAGAATATTTCATATACCGGAGCTAAGAAACTTTATACAGGTCCAGTGATGAAGGACTGACAAAACGTTGCATGTGCTGCATAAGCAAGCCACCCAGGTGAAGATTTTTGGATTTCTGAGATATATATTTTTCTTCCCTGTAATGGCACTGTAGGATTGCAATGTTAGTGGGATGCATTTGCCACTTCTCTGAAAACTCATTTTAAAACTCACTTTCTTTTATTCTGAGTACTGTATTTAGACACCCATGTAATTAGCATAGCAATTATGTGTTAAATGTGTAAAGAGACATAGGCCTCTCAAAGGTTAGAGGCATGGTGCCTAACTCAAAGACGTGCTAGGAATCATTTAACTGTAGTCATCCAACGTTCAGCTGGGATGTCTAAATTAGCTAGCCTGCTGCCCTAGATGTGTTCCTTACATCATCAGCAGGGGGGAGATCTTCCCGAGGATGGTTCAAATCTTATGTGAGCAGACTCTCCCACTGAAGCTGCCTAAGTAACAGAAAGAAAGTTTTATTACCCCTGAGCTCAACTTAAGTGTGAGCAGTAACATTAAATTTTCACCATGTGCAGACCTGGGAAAGAGAAGTATCTAAGGCAATTCAGTGATGGAGAGCTGTGAATAGGGTTTGTAGGGTTGGGGACAACCTTAGGCTTTGCAGAAAGCTTTTTATTTTCCCCTTTGAAATTGTCGTGAAATGTGGAAAGATGAACAACTGATGAATCCACTTTTATGTATATGTTACAGAAAGGCTGGGTGAAAGTGAATCCCCTTGCTGTTTTGTCTTCAGGCCTGTAGAGATGAATCAATATGTAATATATGAATATTATAATGTGTATGAACATTATAGTGTTAAAATATATCTTAAGAAATATTATTTTTCTGGACCTTTGAAAATCTCTTTCTCTAAAGAATTGCTGCACAGAAACTTTGGGGTTGCATTTGACACATTTTATTTTTTTCAGGTGTGTTCAAGGTATTAATTACTTTGTGCAAAAATAAGCTCTTGTTTTCATTATGCAGCATGAAACACTTTAAAGTTTTCAATGCAATCTCAGAAAGTGATTTTCCAAGAGATTCAGTGAATGTGCTGTACTAAGGAAGACAAGATTGGATCATTAACACTTGCTCTTTGAATATTTTTGAAGAACAGGGTTCAGTTTTTAAAGTGTCATACAAGAGTTTAAACTGTTTTCTGCAATATAAAAAAAAAAATGCTTAACCATATAAAGAAAAGGTTCAAAGGAGAACTGTTCTGATTTTTAAAGGAAATTCATGTACATGTGCTCTTTTCCCTGATTCCCTAACCAACCAAGATAGCTCGTTTTTCTTTCTCCATCTATAACATGAAAGCGCTATGTAGTACTTTTCTGGTCTTGTCTTAAGAGTGTTTGAAAATGATTGTCAGCAGTTTGTTTGGTTGCCTCTTGATTAAGAGGTTGCCAACCAAAGAATTTAAGAAATGCTGATCTGATCTGACCTCCAGCATGCTGAGGGCTTGTAGAGTTTCATAGCATTCTTACGACATCAAGGCTATAGTTTAGATCTGAGTGATACACAATCTTTTTGAAAGATGTTCAGTCTCTTCCACTGTAAGAGAATCCATCACACCTCAGTAGGAGAGAGGGAAAGGAACATTTGGTGGTTTTACTCAGCTGGGC